AAACATTTGTATTTCTAAAAGGCTAACTTTTATAAATATTACCTTAGGAGAAAATAAAATATGTTTGACTTAATGCTGTCTGTAGTAAAATGACCATAGGGACAGGTCTAAATGGTTTATTAAGTAAGAAAAATTGAACATATGAAAAATTGTTCTCTCCTAGAATATTTCTAACCCACACATGTAATTTATATCATGGCAAAATTCAACACAAAAGGTCTATTGTTTTTGGCAAAATAACTTGCAAACATGCTTAATTAGGATGCAAACTGAAAGCACAGCTTAATACTGTTGACAGCCATGAGCTTCAGACAGTGATTTCTACTACTATTATTATTATTTCACTTATGGAAACATTTGAAAAGCAGTAAATATGGAATTAGAGGACAAGGTTATTAAAGAGATGTAACATTTGAATCTTATGATTCTCACTTCTGTGTCAGCATCACAAATAATAGGCTTCCAACAGCCCCACCTTGTAACAGGAATGAAAGAAGTTATTTTTGCAACGAAAGCTTACTCCCATGGATATTTGAAAAAGATGTCAGCATTTAAGTTAATCAATACCTGCTTCCAGTGGGCTTTACTTTGAGAAGTGATGCCTCTTTCTGGGGAGAAGGGATAATTCTTTATACTGACATTCCATTCCATTCACTGCAAGATGTAAATGAATGCCTCCATTAAATCGATTCCGTGGTCAGTTAACATCCAAAGCAGTCTTTGCTCTATTGTAGCCCTGCATTCACCATAGGAACAGCCAGAGCCTAAAAATAAATCTGAAAGAATCTAACCCAAGGCACCATTTTCAAACGGCTAATGCCTGCTTCTTCCAGGGCCATGACTTCTCGTTCTTGGTTTCTGTAAATTATAGACTAAGGATATGGAAAGGGAGGGCCAGGTTACAGGACTGAAGGAGACAGAAGAGGAAGTTGGTCATATTATCTGAATATTCTAGCTATTTCACGTATTTAAATTTCAGTAATCATTTTTAAGCGGTCATTTATGTGTGACAAAACACAAGGGTTAAAGCATTGCATGGTGTAGTGGAAAGAGTTCTGGCCTCTGGTTCACTCCCTCCCCCTTGTTGTATAACCTCAGATAAATTATTTCAGTAACTTCCAGCGTTGGGCTATAACTTCTCATTTGGTTTTCTTATCTGAAAATGACAGTTATCGTGATGGGGATCAGTCAAAATTGTGGAGTCTACAAAAATGGTTTTAATAGTATCACATGGCACAGAAGGTCAGGATATTTCTGTGATCTCTTGAAAAATATATCTAATGGAGAGATCACCAATCTGAAGAGTTAAAAACTTTAGGGGTGGATGTCTGACCTGAGTTCTCCGGGCTTACCATTTAAAGTTCTTATTTTACCTCTATAGATAGCCTCAGAGTTGTGTAAAATGTGAAAAAGTTAACTAGGTATTCTATTTTATGAGACTCTTATTAAACTTTTCATTGATTTACTTCCTATTATAAAATTAATACATGCTTATCGCAGGAACTTCCAACAGCTCAGAATGATATAAAGAAAAAGGACTTTCCCTCCACTGCTGCTTGTTTTGTTTCTCTCTTTCTCTCTCACTCATTCATACACACACACACACACACACACACACACACACACACGATTCCCCATTCCCCCACCCCCAGAGATAATCATTATGAAGTTTCTTTTAAAATAAAATACTTTGAAAATGGAAAACATTGCAAGACCACTTATGGATTTAAAAAAATACATTAAAGAAAAAAATCTAAAATTATTTCATGCCATCAGGACTGGGGAAATCTCGAATTCCCTTGGAACAACAGAATGACCAATTGCTGGGTGAGGGAACTGAAACAATAACCCTGTAAACAAATCGTCCAAAGTATACGGCTAGAGACAGCCCACAGCGAAGATGGAATAAAGCCTTCAAGGAACACCACCTCCTCCTCATGGTTAACAACTTGATGACGTTCTTCAACATGTTTTAATGATTATCATACCTTCCCCTTCACAAAGGATTGATTTATTATGGTTTAGATTTAAAGAATACTGGTTTCCCAGTTTTGAATCAGGCTTAGATTACAGAACACATAAAATCAATGACTTTGTTCTAGGCAAGAAAAAACACAGTGTTCATTTAAGTGCAAAAGGAACAGTCCTGGGGAAAAATTCTTCATGCTGTTCTATGTGCTCGCTGTTTCCACCACCTGCCTCCCCCCTCACTCCTCCCCTCATCGCTGTCATCAGACCAGCACACCTAACACTTCCGTGGCACCTTAAAATTCACAAACAACTTCACATATTATTTCTGTCAGTCCTCAAAATAATGTTGCTGGGTAGCTTTTCAATATACAATAAAAAAAGCTGAAGCTCAGAGCAGTGAAGTGATTGGCCCAAGATCTTTCACCTAGTAAAGGGACACTCGCCCAGGTTTATGATGATTTTTTTTAAAGACTTTATTTATTTGAGAGAGAGAGAGTGAGTGAATGAGCAGGAAGGAGAGGCAGAGGGAGAGGGACAAGCAGACTCCCCTCTGAGCAGGGAGCCCAACACAGGGCTTGATCCCAGGACCCTGAAATCATGACCTGAGCCGAAGGCAGACACTTAGCCGACTGAGCCACCCAGGTGCCCTGGGTTGTGATGACTTCTAAGTGTGTATCTCCAACTCAGATCTTTCCTCTAAAGCTCCAGGACCCACATCCAATCTCCGACCCATCTGCATTTTAGTTCCAAGTGCAGTTAAATTCAGGTTCCAGGCTGAGCCCGTAATATTCTCCCATAAACTTGTTTCTCTTTCAACGGTTTTCTTTTTCAGTAAATGGCACCATCACCCTGCTGGTTGCTCAAGCCAAGAACCTAGGCAGCATTTCTATCCACAGCCCTTTTTCTCAACACGCCTATGTATGCTCCATCATCACATCCTGTACATTTTGCCTTCTGAAGATTTCTCAAATTTGTCCTCTTCTCCTTGTCTCCACCATGAACAACATCGTCTGAGGCCATAGCATCTCGCTTTGAAATCATTTCCATGTTATACCCTGCCCTTCCCTCGCCACCTCCCCTCCATGCATTCTCCACTTGGCAGCCAGACTGATCAGGTAATTCCTCTGCTTAAAATCTTTTGTTGGCTTCCTAGTGCTCTTCAGATAAAGGTAAGAATCCTTAGTGTGGCCTATAAGAGCTGCTATGATCTGACCCTGGCAACTGGCAAGATCAATGAGTGGTTTCCATAGTTTCAGGATATCATGATGTATTTAAAAAAATAAGTGAATAGTGAAGTTTCTGTGCATTCTGTTATAATGCATAACATTTAATGACTTAAATGCACTGATTAATTGTAGAATGAAGTTTACACTTGTAGATTTTTTTAAAGCATTATTAACATATGACCATATGTAGATCTTTGTGACTTCTTTCTTAAATAGAACCAAATTCATTTTATAATATGATATGAATTAAAATACATGCCCAAATATATGTAATAAAATATATAATAATTTATATAATTTTTTTCATTTTGTGTGTGTGATTTCTATCTGTCTCAAGACTAGATAGCCGAAGACATGGAGGCAGCAACTCTTCTCCCATGTTGTATGGAGTAGTCATCTTAGAGTCTGAAAAACAGGGTCAACTTCATGCGTTTGTGACTTGTGCAGTTACCCAGGGCCTGCACTTAGAAGAGCTCGGTTTATTGCCTTACTATTTGGTCTTGAAATTCTTAGTAATTTTTGAACAAGGGTCCTACATTTTAATTTTGTCCTGGGTATCACAAATTGTTTAGCCCATTCCTGCTAAAAAGAATCTCAATGTATTGAGTCAAACTCTCTCATGTCATTCAGCCCAAAGTATCTATTGCATTTGATTTCTGTGATTTCTCGACAGAAGGAGGGCTCTGAGGACCACTGGAGTCAGAACTGACAGTCAGTGAGGGAAGGGTGTCTATATATTGTGGTCAATCGCAGATTTCAGGCCAACCAAACATAAGCTTCTACTCAATAACTGAGATTTCCAAATACAGTGAAATGTGTTTAACAACTTTGGCTAGTGGATGAGGCCAAACCAACAGATGGTTAATGTGGAACATCCCTTGGCTTCAGCTGCTACTTAAGATAAGTCCTGACCCAGAATATGGGGTATTGCTGGGCAAAGGTAGGTATAATCAACTTTACTGAAGAGTCGGGTGGTAGCCGTATTAGAAATCTTTTTATGGTTTATAAAAATCCATCAATAGTTTTGTACTAAGCAAAATAAAAAACTGAACCCCTGTGGGAAATTGTCTGCATGTGCAAAATGTGTCACCAGTCGGTGCTTCCAGGATCGCAATTTTCAATGCAAGCAAGCAATATGGTGGTGGGGGGAAAGTGTGCTGTTATAGATGAGAAGAGGCTGGGTTTAAAGCACATCATGTGCTACTTTTATCTTGCAGAAGTTGAAAGGCTGCTAGAATCTGTAAATTACCATTAAAATATATTTATAATTATTACTACTTTGCATGAAAAGTGATGATCCTTGAAGAGTTGGTTTACTGCTTACCCTAGTTAACTTAGGTGAATTTAAAAATTAATATTTAGGTAAAATTTAAATTTTAGGCTGATAATTTCCCCCCAGAGCTCAAAATTTATTTAGAATATGAAAATTTCAGCTTTCTTGGGAAAGTTATGTTTCTGAGGTTAAAAAAAGTCAGTGATAACACAGTTTTTAGAAGCTTCTGTTAGTGATAAATGGGAAGCATTCAAGTGTCACGGTGCATATTTCAAGGAGATGAATTTTGGTGTCAGAATTGGGTTCAAGTCTCTGCTCTTAACTACTTAACAATTTACTTGATCTTTCTAAGCCTCAATTTCCAATTCCTAAATAGGGATAATGACACCCCATGAATAAGGCTAACGGGGGGGATCAGATTCGATATGAGTGTTCAGTGCAGTGACTAGCACATGATGAGTACTCTACAGATGTAGCTATCATCACTGATGAGATTTTTCCCCCAGGATTATAATCTATTAAATAGTTACCTTATTGACAGGAATAGTGTTTTTGACATTGTAGTAGAAGCCAAAATAAACCATGTTGAAAACCCCGTGACGTCCCAAAGTTGCTGTAAATCCTTTGTTGAGGCCCTGGAGTCCCAAGCCTTCCTTCTTAATGATGTGTCTTGCATAACTCATCGTGGATGGTTGCTGCAGGAGAGAGAAGCAAAGCCAGAGAGATCATCTTTGAGACCGTGAAATAGAGTAAATTACCATTTTAGCTTCCCTTCAAGCCAGAATTATTAGGGACTTTTTCTTTCCCCCAACATGAATAATCATGCCTAAATCCATGCTTTTAAAATTAGGAAGCCCCAAAAGTAAACAAAATTGCATGCATGCAGGCCTCCTTCAAGGGAAGACTGCTGATAAAAAAAAACAAAAACAAAAAACCACACCTTTGGTAGAATTAGTGAAACTAATGTCATGTAATACCTATCATTACTACCTACATGTAAATAGCTGTATCCATTCTGGATTACCCAAAATAATGGAGGGGATTAGCCACACAGGTAAACTGGTAATCCATAACTGCATAATCCAAAAGGAATTTACATTTGGTTCCTGAATCCAGCATAGCTACTTTTCTAATTATGTTTTTCTGAAGTGAATGTTACAAGTAGTCTTGATTTCATTGCCTCAAGAGTTAAACTGGCACTAGGTTAGAAATTGGGTGTGGATAAATAAAATCTTAAAAAAAAAAAAAAAAGACACCTGGGTGGCTCAGTCGGTTAAGCATCTGCCTTTCAACTCAGGTCATGATCTCACGGTTCTGGGATCGAGCCCCACGTCGGGCTCCCTGCTTAGTGGAGAGCCTGCTTCTCCCTCTCCCTCTGCCTGCCTCTCTGCCTACTTGTGCTCTCTCTCTGTCAAATAAATAAAATCTTTTTAAAAAGAAATCGGGTGTGGATAGTTGTCTGTAGACTTCCTCAAGAGGGTGCACAATTAATGTGTGTATCACTTGTTGAGATAAATGACAAATCAGTGGCACTGGGAGTTGTGGGTTACCTTTAATTTACTTCTTTCCAGCCCTCCCATTGACGACCCAACCTTGAAATACCCTGACTACTGGACTCCAGTCTATCGCTACTTTTGGAACACGCTACAGAGCTCACTAGAGTTTACAAGAACAATTCACATGGGCTTCAATAAAAAGCTGAATGATTGCGTCCTTTCGGAGATACAGTACAAGGGATATCTCTACTCGTTAAATTTTGACTGAATAGGAAATAAGGGAAAATGCTCAGTATTTTTTTTTTTCCCATGAGGCAAGCACTGATGTGACATTTGTTTGATTTTTCCCTGGAGCAGGTTGCTGGAGTGGTCTGCAGTCTGATGTGCTTTCTGACTAAAAGTGTTTTCTTATCAGGTGCAATTAAGGTTGTATCAGCAGAACAGAGAACAAATCCAATCAAGCCTTTTCATCCAACTTGTATTTATAGCTATGTAATTAACATGATACATTTAAATGAGCTTGTTTATATAGTAAATCCTATAGTTTTTGCTGATAAATGTTTTAAAAACTCTTAACTACAATACTACACTCAACTTCATCTTTTCACTTAAGAAGATTAATTACAATACACTCCATTAAGCTTTTAAGGAAACCTTTTTTTGTAACAGGAAAAAAACACATGAGACTATATCTTAAAATAATAAAAAAAGATTTCATATAGGAAAACCAAAAATTCTCAGAAGGTTAAAGTTCACTCTCTGCTCTACAAAATGGGGCTTTTTTTGTTTGTGTTCTGGCACATTGACTATCAACACAAATTATTTTGGTTTTCAAAATAGACTTGAGGATAAGTTGAGCAGAAGTTCATTGCTGTTGGAAAGACTCTGGAAGTGCTGAGCAAACTGCCTAGGCTCTGCTCCCCTGCTCGGAGGAAGGCAGCCAGAGGGCAGATTTTGAACTCAAGCGCCTGGGTGAGCTTGAATTCTAGTTGTGAGTCATTAAGTAAAATCAGAGAGTAGCACAGTAGTTAGAAATAGCCGGTTGTCTTTCTCTTCTTGACTTATTTCACTTAGCATAATCTCCTCCAGTTCCATCCATGTTGATGCAAATGGTGGGTATTCATCCTTTTTGATGGCTGAGTAATAGTCCATTGTATATATGACCACATCTTCTTTATATGGGGAACATAAGAAACAGCACGGAGGACCACAGGGGAAGGGAGGGAAAACAGAATGGGAAGAAATCAGAGAGGGAGACAAACCGTGAGAGACTCTGGACTCCCAGAACCAAACTGAGGGTTACAGAAGGGAGGGGGGTGGGGGGATGGGGTAGCTGGGTGACGGGTATTAAGGAGGGCATGTTTTGTGATGAGTACTGGGTGCCATACACAACTAATGAATCATTGAACACTAAAAATAAATAAATAAATAAATAAATAAATAGCGGGTTGGAGCCAGACAGCTCCAGGTGTGAGTCTCAGCAATCTCACCTGCTAGCCTGGGAAAGGATTTTATCCACGCTGATTTATCCCCACTTTACTTATATGTAAAATAAGAATAATAAGAGAAAAAGAGAATCTTCCTTGTAGGATTGCTGTGATGATAACTAAGTCAATGGATTTTTATCCTCTGTAAGCATTCACTACATATTAGCTGATAATAATAATGGTAATAGTGCTGATAATAATAAAAATAGTTCAAATAATAAAATAACAGGTAATTTCTTTGTTAGCTGAAGGCAATGGCATTAAAAAGGGCAGAGGCTGATTTGAGGGACACGAAGGGCATGTATAACTAGCTTCTTCCTTTTCATTCCTCTGTCTGTCCTTTCCTTTTTCCAGAGTTCTGGACCCTTAGAGTTAACATCCTTGGTAAGAATTCTCCACTGGGTAAGTCTGTGGGCTATAGAAGCAAGACCGCATGGGAGCAAAGTTTGGGAACAAAAAAGTCACCAACTGGGCGTCCACCTCACACAGCTTACAGCCTGGAGAGCACAATTGTGTGTGTTAACCAGGTACCTGGAACACAGTAAGTGCTCATCAATGTTAGCCATTATCACGGATGTCTGGTAGTTTACACATATCATGTGATTTATCCTCTCAACAAGGGTGTGAGATTCCCATTTGACCGATGGGGAAACTAAGGTTGTATTACTTGCTCAAGATCACAGAGGTAGTGCCAAAGCTCAAACTAAGGCCTCTCCCACTCCAAGTCCATACTTTTATAGTCTGCATAGGTTTGCCATTGTAACATATCTGATTGCTTTCCTCAATCTTGTAAGGTGGGCAGCAGGTATATTTTCCTTATTTTGCAGGTGAGAAAACCAAGGACTGTTAAGTAGCAGGCCTAAAGTAAAAATTCTGGTACATGGTTTAAGCAGGATTCTGCATCCGGTGTGGTTCTCATTCTGTGGGCTTAATCTTGTTCTACATATGTGGTAAGAGTTTCAGAGTTTAATAATCCAATTGATACAGATAACAGATACATCATAACCCAAATATATTTTTCTTGGGGCCTTGTGATAGAGAAAAACCTGAGTTCTTCTCTAATTCCCCATAAAGAGTAGAAGTGTGCTTTTTGCTTCATTCAGCAACATTGTGTCACACACATGTAAGCAAATATTTAATTAAAAAGGCAAAACATGACTTCCACTGGGATGCTTAAATAGGAAAATACAGAATCATTTTGACTAGATCTCGGTAAACACAAGGAATTTTACTAAACTTATTTGATTACTGGGCTTCCATTTCAAAACAAAAATGGTGACTGATTAGCATCATCAACCAAATGATTCCAATACTATCCAACCCAGCAGATCACCTACCAGTTCAGTTTCTTTCCAACATTTAGATTCACTGCAATTTTCATATTTGGTTACCAGTTGTGGGCCAAATTGCATGATAACTTTCCTAGATGTACAATCTTCATCGACTGCACCAGAATGCAAGTGGGGGAGCATAAATGGACTGGAATGTAGCTTATACTGTGACATCACACTGCTCTCCACACTGGTTTATTGAAATCCTCAGTTCACTGGTTCCTGCCAGAGTATTTCCATTTGACGTAACTCAAAGTCTTTAGGTTTCATTTTAGCTAGGGCCAACTGCTAATTCTGGGAACTCTCTTTTCTTTCATGCATTCATTTCTTCAACAAATACCTGTTGTGTGCCTAGTAGGTGCCATGTGCTGTGCTAAATGTCTCATGCAGGACTTTGCTCATATTCTAGAAATTTAAATACTTTTGCTTTGGCTTTTATTCGGGGAGATAGGCTGATAATTTTTAGATCCACCCATGAGAATCTTCCACAATGGTTATGAAATATGGAATCAAATTTCTGTTTTAAAAGTCCTTAAGAGGCTTAATTAAAGAGATTTTTTGCGCTACTCCAGGGCACTGATTCCTTACTCACGGAGAGTCCAGGATTACCAACAAATCACGGAGATGACTTATGGCAGCCTGAGCTATTTTGTTTGGAGTTCTTCCATCCAACTACTGACCATAGCTGGCTCTGATTAGCTTGTGAGACCACAGACTGAGGTGTAGGGAGCAGGCAGTGTCTCTGAGTAAATAGCAATCAGAGTATGGCCAATAGGTAGAGACCTGGGGTGTGTGTGTCAATGAATTTCCTCCATCCCCGAAGCCAGAGAAGAGCTCTAGGCACACCATATCAAAAGGCAACATGCTCCACATGTGTTCCTTTACTTGCTTCCCAGGGCAAGGTGAATTCTGTTGTGTTTTAGAGCCAATGGAATAGGGTGTTGCATTGAATTTCATCACATGGCTGGAAAGCAAACCGGATGAGACCTTTGCACAATGGAGTGAGTGTCCATATCTGGGCCTTCAGAAAAATACTGCTTTGTTAAAAAAGAGGAGATCCAGTTGCTGCATTTAGGCAGGAAAATACCCTGGTTCCTCAGGAGATAGAAGATCACTTATGTTTTTCATTACTCAAATAAAGTCTTGAAGCGTTTTCATAAATTTGAAAAAAAAAAGAAAAAAGAAAAAAATCCCTTCCTTTTATTTGAGAACAAAATGCAAGTGAAAGAAGAGGAATTGGGCTCAAAAATCCCACACTTACACTTTGCTTTCACTGAGATATTTCGCTAATTCATCATTATAGCTTATTCTAATAGGGCAAGATTATGGACAAAAAGACACGCCAAATACAATTATGCTCTATCTAGAGTTTATGTTTGAT